GATCTTGAATATGCCTCAACCAACAATTAGAAATACACAAAGGCAAGAAAACTCTGACCCTGCCATTTCTCTAAACAAGTTTTAGAAAATATTTTCTCTAAATGAGTCCTATCATTTATACTAATAACAATTCTACAAACTACAGAAAATGGCCTCATTCCTGCAAGATGTTGCTGGTCCCCAGTGAACATAGGAATAAACCCCAAATGCGAGTGGTAATGTGTCATTACAAAACAACAGCAACAAATGGCTTGGCCCATTCGCCAAGCTATTGTAAGGGTATAGTTAGTTCTGTTTGTATCTTCCCTAATGGTTCAGAGCATTCACTTTGGTCCAGTGAAGGGCCTGATTTCAGATATGAAGCAGTTTGAGGATTGCAAAATAACCTAGCAGCTGTATTCTGAGATGCTTCGTAACCGTCGCAATCCACGGTACATCATAATCACTGGAAAGCTTGCTGGATTTAGGTCCTCAGGCCACAGAACTTAATCCAGAGATTTAGTCACGTCCTTCCATATGTGTTTACATTAATGACTCCCTATGGTTGGGGGCTTACTGTTTTAACAACTTGGAGTTCCAATAAACTCAATTCAACTATTTGCAGTGGGCTACAGCATTGTAGTTTAAATAAGATTTTATATGTCACATCAAATATCAGTACCTACATTTGACAGCATCTCCTTAAAATGAAAACAAATATTATCATAGAAATAACGTTGTTTTTTTTTTCCAGTGCGAAATCGCTCTGCACACTTAGAGAATAACAAAGCAAAAAGCTCTTTAATAATAGCACACATCAGACTCTGGTTACTACTCAAAGAAGCACTAGCCATGAATATAAGATTTTATTAACTTTATTTTACATGTGCTGCTATTCTTAAGTTTCTTTTAGGTCCCTGCCCCGGGTTACACTTTGAACAAATTGAAGAGTGATAGAAGGCTGCAAATTTGTCTCCTTGGGCAGATGTGAGATTTACATAGCAAAGACATTGTCAGAATTTTTTAAATACAGCAGTACCATTCTCTTCTAATATTCATTATCCAGCTTCATCTAGCCCACCTGGCAGAAATATGCTTTATCTGGAAAGAGTACAGGGGAGTTGAGGGCACACTAGGACTTAATGATCTTTCTGACCCTGCTCTGCCTCCTAGAGCTGCCCACCAGAGTCATGTTCTTTGATATGGGAATTAGCCTAATGGCTGGTTGTAAATGAGGGTGGTCCACTTTTGTTAAGGCAATGGAACCTAGTTGGAGGTCAATTATAGTGAATAAACATTCACAGGAACTTTCTCCGCAACTGTAAACTTTAATTAGGTACAAACTTTTTTTTTTATAGTTTCTAGCAACCATGGTTAGTATACTACCATTTTAGTCATTAATCCTTTTGCTAACTTCTAATTTGTGTGACTTAATATTTCCTAAGCAAGTTTATTAGTAAATCAGTTTTAGCACCAGTTTTACAATATTTCAAGTTTCTCCTGCATCAATATAATTAGGAATCAATTGGGGTCTTTCTCCTGTTCGCTAGGGCTCACAATAATGATCAGAAAGATGTGTTCCAATTATATTGCCATATCCAATCAATGTAAAAGGCTTATGATTAGACTCTTCAGCTAATATAACTAAAACAATCCTTGACAAGTTTCCAAGCTATGATCTTCAATCTGTTAAAACATCTTTTTTTGTTTTCACTGGGCACAGAAACTATGTCTGTTACCATCTCCCTCATCCCCTTTTGACACTATCCAGTATTGCAGCAAGCTGGGCTATTTGTGAAAATCCATCTTAAACACCTAAGGAATAAGATAAGGGAGAAGTGGAAAGAGGAGAAAGCCTGAAGTGAGTGATTCCCTAAATGAATATATATTTTGAGAGGAACACCAGCTTGTGGTGGAGTACTCTAAGGCCATTGAACCACAGAAAATAGGCAAGGCCTTTACCTATATAGGCCAGGTACAAAAACAATGGCAATCCTCTCCTCAAGAGTCCAATATGAGTGTTTATGAGCCATTAATCAGGGTTTACAAAGAGTAACAAGTACAGCTTCAGACTTCTGGATGTTATAGCCTGAGACTACCCTGGTACTCCTACTGACACTAGCTAATACCTCTCCCCATGCTGTACATAATAAACAATCCTCAGTTCCAGGTTCCTGCAAGTGATAAGAATAGAAGAAACCACCTGATCTCTGCTTCAGTGTACTGTGTCTGTATGTCTGTCCTTTCTCCATTCCCTTACCATCACAAAATAAGGTTTCAGGAACAAAGTTCCTTTGGTTAAAGGTAGTCACACAGCAAAAAGTCCTGGATACCTACGAGCTACATCAGACCCAAACACTGCTTTGAAATAAGACACTTTGGACAGAGTGTCTGAAACGTTATGGAAGAAGAGGGAGATAGAAAGACCTGGAGGGGACAGGAGCTCTACAAGAAGAGCAGTAGAACCAAAAAATCTGGACCCAGGGGTCTTTTCTGAGACTGATACTACTACCAAGGACCATGCATGGAGATGACCTAGAACTCCTGCTCAGATGTAGCCCATGGCAGCTCAGTTTCCAAGTGGGTTCCCTAGTAAGAGGGCAGGGCTGTCTCTGACATGAACTCAGTGGCTGGCTCTTTGATCAACTGCCCCTGGGAGGGTGCAGCCTTGCCAGGCCACAGAAGATGATGCAGCCACCCTTGATGAGACCTGATAGGCTAGGGTCAGATAGAAGGGGAAGCATTCTCCCCTATCAGGAGACTAGGGAAAGGGTATAGGGGAAGAAGAAGGGTGGGTGGGACTAGGAGGAGACAAGGATGGGGCTACAGGGGGGATACAAAGTGAATAAATTGTAAAGAATAAATAGATAGATAGATGATAGATAGATAGATAGATAGATAGATAGATAGATAGATAGATAATAGGAAAAAAAGAAATAAGAGTTCTCAAGGTCTAAAACAGAGAAAATAGGTCTTTTGTTCATGAGACACCCAGTTTATAGTACTGTGCTTTAGTTAGTATGTCAAGAGAACTAAGCCAATCTGTCTAGAACTAAATCAGGATGGTGCTTATGGTATGTGAGGTAGAACACTTTGTAACTCATTCATGTTTGAAAAAAAAACTCATATAAACAGAAATATCATGTTTACAAAAATATTTTAAAGGTGACTTATTGTGTCTGCCACTGCAATGTACACAATGTTTTCCTTTTGAATGAGCAGGTTTAGAGGACTAAAATATGGAAGACCTTGGAAGAGTGTCTGGCCTTTATAATTCATTCTACTTCTTGAAAACTACTAGACATGTAAGGTAAAAAAAATGTTATTTTAATAATTTGTTCATGAAGTATTAAAGTAAATTTTGCATACTTGTGATGTTAATTTTTATACATATATTTTTGCTTTAGAGTTCTTGTTGTTTGAAAATTCTGAACATGTATACAAAATATTTTGATCACATCCACATCCTGCCTGCCGAAAACATGCTTTCCTCCCAACTTGATTTTCTTTTTTTTGACCTTTTTTTTTTTTTTTTTTTTTTTACTAGTGAAACCCACTGAGTCCAGTTTAGGTATGAGGCCATCCACTAGGACTTGGGAAACTGACCACTGGCTACACCTCCAAAGGGAAGTTACTCTTCTTCTCTCGGCAGCTACCAACTACCAATAGCTCCTCTGGTTTGCTCAGTGTCTACTTTCCCAAACATGTTGGGGTTTTAACTAAGTTGATCTCATGCATCTCCTGTACAAGAAACCACAACTGCACAACTGCCGTGAGTGTCCATGGGTAATATCTATGTCTTTTCTGGAAGTCAGCATCTCGAAGCACATCTCCACACATGGTACGAAAGAAGAAGGAATCAGTGAAGTTTTCAGTGGGAACAAAAATAAGAGTATGGAGAGAAGAGGGAATAAGGATTAACCACACTAAGCTTGTATGAGGGAACATAATAAGATACACATCTGTACTAACTAAAATTATACTTTTTTTAAAAAAAATAAAGAATTAAAAAAGGGGTATCCAATGTGGTGGAGTGTTCTCTCTACTACCAAAGACATGGGTTATTAAAATTTCAGTGTCAGGAACAGGATACCTCCTTATAAGTTATTGGACATAAAGGTCCCACAGACGCTCAAAACAAAATACGCCATTGCCATTATTTTTGGTCTTCCAACATAACTAGTTTTCAATGCCCTCTTCCCCAAGACACCACATTTCACTTGGAGTACATATAGAAATCAATCTTAATCTGATCAAGAAACTTTCTCCTTGCTTGTTATCTTTCACAGTTCTGGCAGGGTTGGTAGTGGATACAAGATATCAATGACCCTACCCATTGCAGGACCTTATGTGCAGCAAAATTAACCAGAAGGCAAATGGAACAATGGTAGCATAGCTATTACTGGAGTAATCAACTGCTTGGTGGGAATTCAGGTTTGGTTCTGTAAACCTAGTGAGAAACCTTTGCATGGAGAAGTTATACATTCTAGTGAAGAACTTACTGTAGTTATTTTGCTAATTAGTTAGGTTGTAAATATCTTAAATATTTATGGTAATAATAGTAGATTTTTTGCTGTTCTAAATCTTCCTGGGAAAAACTTGTTTTCATGGTGGGTTTTGATTAATGCAAAGAATCACAATTGATCTAAATATGGAGAATAAGTGACTGTAGTGTTTGTCCCTGGTATAGAAAAAATATCTATACCAACCTCTTCTACTTCAGAGAATATTTTCAAAGCAGTGTGTGTGAAAGAGAGAAAGAAAGAAAATGTAAGAGCTTTTGTGTATTTTATGTATCTTTCTTTCTATTATCTATCTATCATCTATCACCCCCTATTTACTTATTTAATCTATTTTTATCTATATTTATTTGTCTTCCATTTATTTATTTTGTGACAAGGGCTCACTGGAAAACACTGTAACCTGGGCTGACCTCAAACTCATCACGAAGATCAGACTGACCATAACTCATAGCAATCATCTTGTTGCAGTCTTTCAAGTGCAAGGATTAGAAGCATGAGTCACCATGTCTGCTGTTTGTTTATTTTTGAAGTTGAATGTGTTTCTTCCAACTTGAGAAAATCATTTGGGAGAATGTTTTTATCCTCAGGCAGTTTCCAAGTCAATGAATGGTGAAAGCAGTTTTCTGAAAGAACTGATGTCTGCAGGTTTCCTTGATCTTTTTGTAACAGCTCCTCTCCATCTCGACAAACAATGCTGAAGGTAAAAACTGGAAACAGGGATAGCATTTCCCATCAATATCCTGTTTGGACACTGATACTCATTACACATTTTCTGGTACTCATTATACGATTTCTCTGTTCACTCACCCACAGATGACATCTGCCAGGCTGTTTTAAATACAGGAAATGCCAGAGGGCAACCATAGCCAGATTTAAAATAAACAAAATAATATTTTACTCATAAGAAAATTAATAAGAATTCTCAAAAAGGGATAAGAGTGTTTCACTTGGCTGTCATTTTTCCCCCAAATAACATGCTATATTCCTTCAAAATGTGCTACAGTTGGTTGCTTCTTATCTTTAATCTTACACTGAAGCTCTCATTGTTTTTATTTGCCTCTGTGATAGCACTGCTCATTTTGAAAGTTTAAATATTCTATTTTTTAATCTCATGCAATCTTTAAAATATATCACTCTTCCCAAGGACATTAGATGAATCATTTAGTACTTTACTATATGTACACACACACACACACACACACACACACAGAGAGAGAGAGAGAGAGAGAGAGAGAGAGAGAGAGAAAGAGACAGAGAGAGATATTTAATATATATCAAATCTCTGGCATGCTTGTTTAGAAGCTGAACTCCAAAGAGAAATATAAATTATGCTGTTTCCATGATACAATCTTTTGGCATTCAAGATAATATTTATATTATAGTTTGGAAGCTCAAAATCATCTATATTTACAAGTGTAAGTATTTCCTTCAGTAGCAGGAGAAAAATAAATGTTGGGATGGGGATATATTGTATGAAAAAATTATGGTTTTCAACAAAATTTACAAAAATGTTGGTAATACAAAAGTTATCGCCTTTAGGAAATAATTTGGCAAAACAAGAATGATGAAAACATGCTATTAAATTTTGTCTGTGGAGAAGGCTTAGTTGGTGAAGGGCACAAACATATTGCTTGGCACGTTCACCTGAATCAGCTTTTTCAGAACCCATGTGAAAACCTAGTCATAGCTGTGCTTCTTTATAATCCTACTGCTGAGGTGGTATAGATCGGAAGAACAGTGGAAATTGCTGGAAAGGTAGTCTGACTGAAATAGGGATTTCCAGTTTCAATGAGAGACCTTGTCTTAAAAAATGTGAAGAGTGATACAGGAAAAAACATGATGTAGATACACTCACTCATGCATGTTCCCATACAGTACTCAATGGGATGTCTTTATCAGACACTGCAATAAAGAGATCTACTCCGAAGAGGAGCCTGGAAGATAGCAAGAGCAAGAAGTCGTCCACGAAAACAGTATTTTATAGACATAACAGGACTGATGCACAAATGAACTCACAGAGAGTGTAAACAGCATGCATAGAACCTGCATGTGTTCAAACAGTACAAAATTCCAACACCAAACAAGGGTACTGGACACAAAGTCCCATCCTTAACTAAGACAGTATTAGAAATTTCTACTGGTTGGGAGAGGAAAAAAATCAATTTTTACAATAAAGGCATGTTGGATATATTAACCACACTCAATGACAGGCCTCATGCTAAGGGTCAGTCCTCTTCTATGCTTGTGTATGTGTGTGTGCTGTGTTTTGTTTTATATTGATTGGTTTTGGGTTTAGTTTTAGGATTTGTGTAAGATAGAGGAAGAACATGAACTGGGGGTGGATCAGAGGTGAGGAGAATCTGGAAGAAGTTAGGAGAGGGTAAGCATATGATAAAAAAGATATTGTATTAATTTCTCAAAGAAAAGATAAAAACATAAAAATAGATTATGGCTATTATTATCAATAATTAGTTTTGGGAAAAAACACATTGTTGAAATAATTAAAGTTGTATAAAATAGTAAAATGCAATTTCCAGATTAAAAACTAAAAAATCTTAATGTCTGTGGGAGGCTGTCCTTACCTGTTCTTCTGGCAGGCTTGGCCTGTGTTTGGCAGGAGTTGTGTGTCCAAGGGAACTGAGAAAGTCGGGAAGGCCTACTCGATGAGGATGATCCAAGCATGGACTCTTAGTAACTGAGGATACAGAACCAGAATAACACATTCTCTGTAGCCAGAAAACGCTTCCGCTAGTGGGACCCGGATACCAACACAACCAGAAAACCTTTGACCTACTCCTACAACTTGTTGGGCCAGCAAAATGTGCTGTGTCAGTGTTGGTTCAGAGTTTATAGGAATGGCCAATGACTGGTCTAACTTGAGGCTCACGCCACAAGAGGGAGCCCATGCTCTAAACTGCCTGGATGGCCAGGAACAGAAAACTGGATGGCCCAGAGACCTAAGGTAGAACCAAAGAACAAAACAGGACTAACACACACGATTCCTAATGATATTCTGCTGTACTCAAAGATCAGTGCTACTCCAGTAATTATCAGAGAAGCTGTCTTTGGTAGCAGAAGGAGCAGATGCAGAGATATAGTCAAACAGAAGAGAGGGAAGAAGATTGGAGGAGCTAGGGTTAAGGAGACCAGCAAAATAGAGTCCACAAAATCAACAAAGTGGGATTCATAGGGGCTTACAGACTGAAGTGGCAAACACAGAGCCTGCATGGAACTGTACTAGGTCCTCTGCAAATATTTGTGATATTTTTAGTTTGGGTTTTTGTGAAACTCCTAACAGTGGAAGTTGAAGTAAATGTGACTCTTTTGCCTTCTCTTGGAACCTTTTTCCTTCTGCTAGGTTGTCTCATCCAGCCACGATATGAAGGTTGATGCCTAGTGTTATTGCATCTTGTTATCTCTTGTTTGGTTGATATCCTTAGGAAGTCTGTCATTATTATTATTATTATTATTATTATTATTATTATTATTATTATTTATTGAAACTGGAGTAGCAGGGGAATATGGAGAGGAGATGCAAGGGAACTGAGAAGAACGAAAGGAGGGGAGGTTGAAGTTGGTATGTGTTGTATTAAAGAAGAATAAATTTTGAAAAAAATATGCAAAAAAGTCAACGTCGTTAAACATTGAATTAAAAAGTATTGGAACTTGGTTACTTTCCTATGTCAGTCACAGAGAATTTGCTCGTTATTTCCAACACAATGGGAACCATCCCTGGTACCACAAGAAAGTTCACAGGACAATAAAACGGAAGATGTAGATAACAGAAAAATATGTGATATAAACTATGCCATTAGAGCACTGACAGTGCTCTTATGCTTACATACAAATATAAAGTATAACAGCACTGAATATAAATAAGTGAGAATATAAAAATTGTATTTTGAATTATAACAATCCAAGTTTTATTTTATACCAATGCATGCAAGCAATGTCATTCACCATACTAACATAGGAGGAAAAGGTAAAACATAATCACAGAAGAAAACAGAGAGTATGACAAAATTGAATTCCTGATTGTTAAAATCTACTAACACATTCTGTGTAGAGTCCATTACTGCCAGCTTCCATAACAGGCAAATATGAAAAAAAAAACATGCTTTTAAACTCTTTAGTCCCCTTTTTACTGCTTTTGGGGACTATATCTATTTATGCTGTTTGGGTCAGACTAAATAATATTTATCATTAAAACAGCGAGTCAGAGGAGAGTTATAATAACATCTGTAAGAAAATGAGAAAATGTGATTGTGTTCATCCAATGTTTATATCTAATAACCCCATATAAGTTCCTAATTTTAGGTTCTGTGAAACACTTTTCTTCATTGCTGAAACTAGTTAAGATGACTAATGATATTTCTTGCGATTCTTGCACTTTTTATTTTCCCTTAATCTGGTGCGATTTCCCTTGCTCATTACTATTTCAGATGCTTCAATTATTTGAGAATTACCTAAATCCCTGTGTTAAACCTTATTGTTGAGTATTTTACACTTTCATTATTTTCATCTAGATCTAAATTTCTCTGCATTTTAAAACTTATTTATAATCCAATGCTTTTTCTGTCCAAAGACTTTTATTTTCATTCTATTTTCCCCCTCGGAAGCCTATGATTTTCAAATTTGTTTTCCACATTTCTACTTTTTTTTTCTCTTTTACTCTTTTGCATATTTAAACATTCCTTATTGATCTAATGAAAACTTCATCAACACCATCCTTAGTTTAACGATTTATCGTTTTGATTTGAATTTTGTCTTTTCGTCATGAAAAAGTGATGATGCCCTCATTATACCCCATTATCTGTCCTCATCTCTCATCTTCTTTCTGCTATGGAAGCCCACTAAGGACTCGGCTTATTACTAAAACCTTAATGAATCTAATGAGTCCTTTATCTGGTCTCCTTTTGGCCCGGATTGATAGCTGCAAGAGGAAATTTGAAATAATTTCTGGAAACTCAGCGATTAAAGTTATTTGCTTCCAAGATTCCAACCTTAGTTCCATTCTCAGCACTTACATGGTAGAAGGAGAAACCTGATTCACTCTAGTTGCTCACTGACCTACACACATATGTTTACCTGTCATTCACATGTCCATACCACATGTACAGTAAATAAATCAAAATGTAATTTAACTTATATGCATATTAATTTATACATATATATATTATATTACTGTTGGCTTATCTCCTTGGTTAGAAGTTGGAGGCTGACAGTTAAATGCTGTGTGAGTTGACTGACTTAACTCGTGCTTCTTCAGCAATTGTTCCTTAATTTCTGAAGCTGTCCAAGAGGGTGAATTATTTATTACAGAGATTGTTTGACCGTCCTCAGATTGATTCCCTGCCAATGTTTGTACTCAGATGCTGGCTTATTTCCAGTGATTCATGTTTCCAATATTATTTGCTTGGTGACACTTGTTTTAATCCCAGTTATCACCTCAGCCTGATAATTTACCTTGTCCTTATTTAACATTATGTTTGGAAAGACATAATGAAATCAAATAATCTTCATTTTATTTATTTATTTATCTATTTATTTACTTATCTATTTATTTATTTAATTTTTCTTATTACTTACAGCTGTATCCCGCTCTCTCATTCCCTCCCCAATCCCACCCTCCCTCCCTCATCTCCTTCCTGCCCCTTTCTAAGTCCACAGATAGGGGAGGACCTCCTCCCCATTCATATGACTCTGTTTTTTCAGGTATCTTCTGGACTGGCTGAATATCTATCATCTAAATTTTGTTCTTAGGGGAGGCGATCCTGGCGGCTGCAGTGTAGTGGCAGAAGTCTTGAAATTGCTCTGAAGGTGAGGACATCCCCTCCCCTTCCACCAAGGCCAGACGACCACATTGCCCTCACTAGCTCCTTCCCATCAGAGCCTCCACTTACATCTCCTGGCCTGAGTCAGCCTTCTGCTTCAAGCTCGGAGTCACCTGCATGTTCCTCATAGGACTGGCTGAGACACTGAAGCAACAGCAGAATGGCCAGCTCAAGTATGCCAGCATGTCTGACTGCCTCCTCAAGACCATCCGCTCCGAGGGCTACTTCGACACGTACAGGGGAGCAGCAGTAAGCCCGACCCTGGTCACCCCCGAGAAGGCCACCTGGCTGGCAGCTAATGACTTCTTCAGACATCAGGTCTCCAAGGATGGACAGAAGCTGACTCTGCCTAAAGAGATGTTGGCAGGCTGCAGGCTGAACACCTACCAGGTGATTGTGACCACCCCTGTGTAGATGCTGAAAAACCAGTTGCAAGATGTGGGTGCATTGCTGCTCAGAAGAAGATTCTGGCTACCCGGGCTTAGCAATTAGTTCAGGGAGGTGCCCCGCCCTCAGTAGAGGCTCCGGCATCTCCTCTGCCCACAGGCACCCAGCTGGCCCTTGACTTGCTGTGGAACCATGGCGTTGTTGGCCTCTACAAGGGACTGGCAGCCATGCTGCTCAGGGATGGCCCCTCCTCCATCGTCTACTTCTGCCTGTTTGTCAACCTCAGTCAGCTGGGCTGCCTGCCTATCTTCTGAGAAGACGTCATCTTCTCTTTGTAGACACTTTACTGGCAGTCTGAGTGGTTGAGAGTCCAGCCTCCATGGCTGTCAAGCCCTTTGATGTAGTGAAGACAGGTTCAGTAACTTGAGCAAGGTGTCAATGAGGACACTTATACTGAGTTTCTGTACTGTGCCAGAAAGACCTGGAGACATGAATGCCCTTCTGCCTTCCTGAAAGGTGCATGTTTGGCATCTCCCAGATGGTCTACTTTCTGGATATCGCTGAGTCCCTGCTGGGCCTGCTGCAAGAACCGCAGGCTTGAACCAATGGCTGCTTCTCTCCAGCCTGTGGGCTGGGGCCAGAACAGGGTGACCAGCCCAAGCCTGAGAAAGAATTGTCTCTCCCCAGGCTTTCCCTTCAAACAGGAAGACAACGGGAGGAAGCAGGTTCCACATGGGTGGTACACATTTAGACTCCCATGGGGTTTTAAAGGAAAAAAAAAATATTGCTATCAAGATCTTATTTACGTAGAAAATGGAGAAATCTGTACATACCTCAAACCAGTCCTGCCGAGCCAGTCCTTTCCCTTCCTTGTTCATCAACCCAGTCCCCGCTGGTCTGAACACCTCATGAGACAGAGCTGGTCTCAGGGCTGGGTCCCCAGGCCTGGTCTGGTCAGGCAGACCCTACCAAGTAGTCCACTGGCTCCATTAAATGAGGTTCCCCTAGTGTATAAAGGACACACATACACACACAAATTATTTATTGAATTTGCTGTGGCCATGTGTCCCTTCCTGTCCTCAGTCCATCACTGTACTTGCCCTGCTGCTTTTTCCACCTCTTCCAGGGCCCCACTCTCCCACCCCAGCCAGCCTTCCAGGAAGCTTGGAATATCCTAATCATGTCAAACGAGGATTCCTAGGCTGGGTGCCCTGCCACGCTCAGTTGTGACCCCAGGCATCTCAGTCCCATGCCACACATACTCTTCCTGATGAACCTTTGGGCTCCCATCATGCAGGACCTAGATTGCTTTAGGTTTTTGTGTGCCACCTGTGGTGGGTAGCTTACTCCCCCACTCCCCTGGCAGTCAGCTGGTCCTGCTACTTGGGGATGGGCCCATAAGGGAGCACCTTTCCCCACGGAGTCAGGCACCCTGTGCTTGTGTGCTGCCTGTACCTCAGGACTTCTGCTGACCTCGTCCAGTACTTTAGTTCTCCAGCATAGTAACTCTTTTGATAAAGCCCTACTCCTGGGCA